ATAAAATAAATCAATACAGTTTTTGATTTTATTGTTTCTGTATTAATCGGAATATAAAGTGTATTAAAATTGCCAAGGTTGAAGCCGATTTCTGATAAAGTATGCACAATATTTTACAAATTTGACATGAAAATAGGAATTCACGACAAATATATTAATAGTACGGTTGGTTTTTTTAAACTTTTAAAGCCTTTAAATTATTATTAATATAACAGGATCCAAAAAAAGAGGTAAAACTAAATCAAACTTAACCAAAGGTGGCTTTATTATTATTGTGATTTAACATTCATTAAATTTTATTACATTAAAAAATAATTCATCCTGTGAGCGGTTTGAAGTTGGGGTTATACGTTGCTCTTTACTCGTTTATTAATATTGAGAAATATCGATTAACGACTAATAACAATAAAACATATTTATAACTCATCGTACAACAAAGTTATGTATATACTCACGTAACGACATAATCAGGCATTAAAGTCCGCGTAAGTCAAGTAAAGTCAGGGGAAGGTAAAGGTGTAAAAAAACTACAGTACACATCATGTCCTACTGGACATTGAGGATTTTTTCGTGCAAACCCGAAGACTCTTGATTAATATTTATCCAAGGCCTTAGATAAAAAGAATAAGTAATTGAAATAATTAATATTTAAATTAATCTCACTTTAGTAAATTTATAATATTTTCCTACAACATATATTTTATTCGTAAAGAAAACTTTAAATGACATTTTAATTTAATTTAACTTGTTTTTAAATATGAATGATATGGAATAAGAATTTTACGAACAGACTTGTGCGAAGATAGTTAGCGAAGATAATTTTAAGTCTGTGCTTAATCGTGATAGGGCGCTTTGCTAGTTTCAAAAAACGATAAAACTTAATATATTAACAACAGACCTACAATTATTGAAACATCAATACATATACCTATGCATTTTTTATAAAATAAACAAATTTTAAAATCATGTTTCATTAAACCCGTCTGTGTAAAAATCGATTGATTAACCATTTATTTATTAAATAATCGTGCATATTATTGTTTTCTTTAAAAAGTCAGAATTGAGGTAATTTTTCTTAATGGTGAGTTTGAATAGCAAATAATTAATTATCAGATTCAGAGTAATTATAGGTCAAAGGAAACGTGATGAAGGTGTCGAGACGCATGTCGAATTATTCAACCCAATTGCATAAATCCATGTATAAATTCCCCTTTTTTTTTGAGTAATTGCAAAATCGTATCGCATTTTAAAAATGTTCCCAAGTCGCTTTCCATATTGTTGAGAAAAGAAGATGGAACGATCAAATTCGGTTATGCCCTCATTTGGAGTATTGACGTTACGTCAGAAAGATATCCTTTCGAGCATGACGTTGGATTTGTCTGAAGGAGATTGTTTTAATTTTTTAGACTGGATTTCTGAGAGCTTTCGGACTTTCATTCGAATCATTTACAGTTGAGAATATTAAAACGAAATCAGGCCCATCCGGATTACACAAATCAGGGGATACTGAATTCGTGTTGACGATTTAAAAGTCTGATAGATAGGATTGCCGCGGCTCACGATTCAAGTCCATTCGTTTATCGACGAGTTAAATATGTACAAAAATGTTTTGACGACGAGGAAGGCTTTAAGATATTTCTGGTGTTAATTGCCATTTTATACATCATACCAAAACTAAATAGCACACATTTTCCCCAAAGCGTTTCTCAAATTTACATTTATACGTAAATCGTTTGAAAAACAATATATACATGATCTTGCATGTGTAATCGTGTCACGTTGTCGGAAAATATTTGCCACAGGAGGAAAATAAATCTAATCTTAACTCTGAGGAAAAACATTGAAGGATTAGGAATCCACATTGGACGGCTTCATGTTTTTACCGATACCCTGGAGTTTTTCATGTCGACAAATACAAACAAAACATTTAAATTTAAATTACAAAAAACACAATTTAAACATTGGTGGGTTCGATTATTTATGAATTGATTACAAGTGGCTGAAATTATCCTTTATAAAATCGGCGCTCTTTGCAAAATGTCGGTTCATTTTTTGAATTTCCTCGCCGCATTTCGAGTTTTACACCAAATCGGTTTCAACGTATTGACTTGTAATGGAACATTTTTTTTTTTAGTTTAGTCGAAAGTTAAAAATATAGCAAAAATATACAAACACTTGACATTTTTGATCACTTGTGCCTTTTTCTGATTTTGGGCGTTTTTAGGTTCGTCATGACAAAATTTTGTGTGGTTTTGGGTACACGATAAGCGTTTGAGTTATTTTCCGATTGTTGATGACAATCACTTGTATATTGTATTGTATGATGATTATAGCTTGTGTGGTTTCTTCCCAACTTCTTGTTTTTTTTTTCTTGTAATCCATTAATGTGGTTTTGTGCTCATGACAACTAATTGTGCATTTTTGTGATGTTTCATGACATCCACTTGTGGATTTTAGTTTAGTCATTACAATTATTGTAATTGTGCATTTTTGGGATGTTTCTATCAACCACTTGTGGGTTATGGTTCTTTCGTGACAAGTAATTGTGTATTTTTGTATTTTTAATGATAGTCACATTTTTTTATCATTTCGTTACATTTTCAAGTTAGTCACATGTTTTTTTGTATCATTTCGTGATATCTACTTGTGCATTTTTGAGATGGTTTATGTCAACCACTTGTGGAGTTTAGTTTTGTCAGGAGTACCAATTGGCATTTTGGTGATGTTTTATACCAACCACTTATGGCTTTTAGTTTGTCATGACTACTAAGTGTGCATTTTGTTGATGTTTCTTGACAACCACTTGTGGATTATAGTTTTTTCATGACAATTAATGATGCATTTTGGTAATGTTTCATGACAACCACATGTAGATTTCAGTTTTGTCATGACTACTAAGTGTGCATTTTGATTGTAGTTGTTTCATGACAACTAATGATGCATGTTTGTGATTTTTCATGAAAGCCATTTGTGTGTGTGCGTTTTTTTAATGATTTCGTGACATCCACTTGTGGGATATTATTTTCCAAAAACACCGATGACCCGAGGGTTGGTATACATAGTTTGGACCATTATTTTCAATTATTTATTGTACCCAAGATTCTACATCTTCGTAACTAAATATATGTAAGAATGTAAAGAAAGCAAAATTAATTGGATATCGACAGTATATCAATCTTAGGGAGAATGTGACAAACTAATCTTACAATTTAATTATCTAGCCATTGTCGAATACCATAGAAGTCATATAAGCTAACGGAAATTCAAATAATACGGATAAGAACGACATAATAATTAATTGATGTGTATCATCGTGGAGGTGATTACAAAAAAAGCGTAATGATCTTGCATAATCTGTTCAGTCCATCATCAAAAAATAATTAAAAATTTTTGTTGTTGTTAATTTATAAACTGTATGTCTTCATGTCCAACGTCAATACGTATTGCAAACTTTGAATTCAAGATAATTATATATTTTAAAGTTACAATAGGATTTATTGTTTAAAAAAAAGATGCATTTATATTAGGACAGCCCGCGTGATAACCACATCAAGAATCGAAGGATTAGAATAATTTTTAAGCAAACCATAAATCAGGGATTTTATTAATAATTTTGATGAACATTATAGTGTGAATGTTAAATTATTTATTTACACACACATTTATTCCACTTAGAAGGAGGAACAGTACAGATTCAACAAGTGGTCTTAAATATTTGTAGTCTGAAGAATGGCTGTTGTAAATAGCAAAATCGGGGATGTTGAATGCAGGTGCCTACCGGTTTGGTTGGTTGTTGTCGGTTTGAATTGGTAATAATGGCGAAATGCCGAATTTGTCAGAATTAACAAAAATGAACGAGGATAGACACACTAGGTTGTGCTAGGAAACTTTATGTCTATAATGTTTAAAACGAGAGGCAAGTTATTGGGATTGAATTAATAGAGAAGAAAACAGAAGGCTGTGTTCGTTGTGTATTTTACGAGAGATTGACGTTTTCCACTTCGTGTGTATTTGTCCAATAATGAAATAATACAGAATGCGGCTTAAAAAATGATGTTTAAATTATCTCGAATTGAAGGCTTAAGTAAAAGGAGAAAGTTGTCCAAATTTGGTTGCATATGTATCACACGAACTGAGGTATCGGAGCGCTTTAATTTTAGAGGAAAATTAATAAAATGAAATGGTCATTTTTATTCGTAATTACAGTTAATTAAGGTTTTTAGTTGATATGAAAAAAAGCTAATGGCACGAGCGGGATTCGAACCCACGATCTTCGGCTAGATACGCCGCTGCTCTACCACTTGAGCTATCGTGACCTCGATCCACTCGGACATCAACTTCCTATCTCAACCCCACCTTATGAGTTTTCCCTCCTTTTTGCAATTTTTCAATTCAAATATATTTATTAAAAACAAAATGTCTTAGTGTGATCTAGATTTATCTTCATTTTGTACCTGTCTGAATTGTTATTTAATTGTTATAGTTTAATTTATTAATTTGTATAGACAAGAGATCTCGCATATTTACTAAATTAGCTTTAATATTTGGACACAATTATTAAAATAAAATTGATTAGTTTAATAATTCAAAAGATTTTTATTTGTATAGCTGCTTTTGCATGATATTTAAATTTTTGTTGTTTAAATTTCTTAAATTTAATTTTCTACAGAGTTAGTTTTCGTTGATTCACATTTAAAAGGTGTTTTAATTTTTTTTAAAATCTTTAACAGTCAATGTGTCTTATATTATTATTTTTATTGATAAATAACTACGTACATTACTCTGAGGAAGGTCAAATATAGAGCCGAAAGCTTGGCATGTATAATACGGTGTATTAATTCAAGGACCACATTCCCAAAAAATTGTCAAATCCAGTGTATATGAAAGTTGGTCGATAAGAAAATAATACCGTAAATTTAAAGTTGAATATCAAGTTGCAATTAGTGTACAAGTGTTGACACAATAAATGCAAGTGTTTAAAAATAATGTATTTAACTTACTGAACTTAAAAAGTGTTCGGCATCACCTAAGTATAAGAATTCTTGCTGAAAACTCGTACACGTCCCAGTATGGTTTTGTCAGGGATGATAAAGCGTTCGAGGAGGTGGCAAGGGTTGAACTGAAATTTGTCTTGAGGGATGAAAGAGAGGGGAGCTAACCCCTTCTCTGCGGCAGCAGGTCACACTGACGGGGTCACGCGGACCGAGACACGTGACCCGACGACGTTGTGGCCTCGGTGTCAGGGGGCGGAGTGACGTTTTTATTTCAATTACACATTTTCTCCAGCACAGGTTGCTCGTTTTTTTTGTGTTATTCCGAAGCACGTGATTGGTGCTGTGAGTGGGCCGGGGAAAAGCGTCGACGGGCTTCGCCAATTTCTAGGGGTGCCTTTTCAAGGGTGGCGTTTTCCCAAAAATCAGGCCAATTTTCACCCATTGGAAACTTTTTTGAATAAATCATAAAAACAATCGTTACTTCAAAAGAAAGTTGACATGTGCTTATGGCCACTTCATTTTGAATAGTCTGGCCGGTGAAATTTATCAGCCTTATAAATTATTTGTAGTAAAAAGTAGAGAAAATACAAACCTTCTTTTTCGATCATATTGCATATGCGATTAATAATATTAAAAAAAATTGGTTTTAATTTTTATTATATAACATGGATTTTTTGTCTTATTGTCATTTATATAAAAAACCTTGTTTTTTTTTTTTTTTTCAGTCAGGACTAATTAGTTTATTTATAATTATAATTAAGAATGATATTTAAAAAAAATTAAATTAAAATAATTCACAAACACTCTAGATCAAGGTATGGTCTTGAAGACAAAAGGCAATTCATTTGTTACTGCCAAGCTTTCAATCTTATCATCAGGGCCTATATTAATGTCACTTTGCGAAAGACATATTTGTACAATTGATTTAACAATTGTTTGTCATAGTGAGGAAACGTGACTCTGGTACAGCATACAATCCTTCAATAAACAAAAAAAGTGACATCTCGAAATGTGCCATTTTTCCTGATAAATACTCACACCGATTCTTTCGTTTAGGGGCTGTACATTGGAAACGACTGACAATTTTGAACATATTTTTTTCATGACATTTTTCATTCACATTCATGAGAAGAAACAACACTTTCTTTTTGATGTCACCCAAACACTCCGGAATGATAGGAAATACATTGGCAGGCTTTCAATAAAGGATGATTTGACAAGCACGTAGTATGTAGAAAAGGATACTAGGAAGCAGGGTTTGTACTCCCCAGGCACTGCAGACTTCTGGTTTATTGTAACTTCCTAGTTCCTTAGTTCAGTGCAATAGACTCAATCCTTCTTCTTAGAAGTATCAGGTCATTGACTGTTGCTGCTGCAATTTGATTCCCTAAGTTTTTTACGTATGTTAGGTTAAACCTTCATTGAGCTGTTGCTTCACATTTGAAGATGATATGAGTGGCTGTTTCCTCCTCCTCATTACATAATCTGCAAATGGGATCATCGCTGCATATACCCATGTTGTGTAGATGTTTTCTCAGATGCCAGTGACTGGTTAGTAGTCCTACCACTCCTCTGAGTTTGGCCCTCTCCAATTGCAGCAGTGTTTTTGCCAGTCTTGGTGAGGGCTGTGTCATCATAAGTTTACTATGTCTAGCAATGCTTGAGTTTATCCACTTCTATTGTTTTGCTTGGATCCATTCTGCGTGACAAGCACATGCTTGCTTGCAGAAATTATATTTGATCTGTCTTCTTTATGTGGACATCACCTTTTTAGCTCTGCTATGATTGCTCTATACATGTAAACTCATATTGTTCTACATTCTACTTTTTAAAAGATCCTGGTGGCCTAATGCTTGACATGCCTAATGTTAGGAAATATAAGAATCCTTACCTTGTGTTTTATACCATACATAAAAAGGAAGAACTGAGTAATAGACATTGCAATTTTTTTGTATTAAATTTTTGATATACTGCCAAATGAATTTAAATAGGATAGTGATCAGTTGTAAAATTTTTTTAAAGACTGATTCACCCTACTTATCAAGTTAATACATTTCAGTTTCTTTAGAAAAAAAAAGGTTAATAATGATTTAGCATGATTGAACTGCCCACTTAGTTTATTGTAAATTAAAATGTGCAAAAAAAAGAACCAAAAAAGGAAAACAGAAATAAATCAAGTCATTTACAGGGAAATATATCTATTTATTTTGTCTCCATCATGTTATGTTACTCCAAAGGAGAGATAGACATAACATTGGTTCTCGGTTTGGTGTATATAAATACTTTTACACATATATTTACACAAAATTCATTGAATCCATTGTCTAAAGTGAAACAACGCAAAACTTTTTTTGAAAAGCATGTTCACCGTTTATGTTTTTGCTTTTTTTAAATTTTAAATATAATATCTTACTACAACCATAAATGAACACTATGCAAATCATTATTTCTAATTCGGGTTTCAACTCTTTTATTCTCTGAATATATATATTTTATATAAGTATCACAAGCACTTATATAGCAACATTTACATTTCAATAAATCATGTTCAAGACAATTGGTAATCTCATAACAAAGGTTTATTAAAATTGACAAGTTTTTCTGTGTAAATATTTTAACAAACAATTAAAAATATTTATTGTCTTCTTAAAATTTCAAAACAAAATGTATAATCTTTTTTACAAAAAAATCAGCACACAAAATTTATAAGGGAAATCAAAACGTTCTGCATTTACATTATTAAGGGTCTCTTTCACAGAAGTAAAATAAACAATAGCTGGAATATAAAACCCACAGAAAGTCAACTATCAACAATCCACTCTAAAAGCTACACTTTTACAATTGATTAATACAAACAGAATATATCAATAATAACAATTCGAATCGTAACGCAAATGAAGTTCATTAAGGCTTGGATTTTGTAATGATCATATTGTGGAATATTGATATGTACCATGATATCTTATCTGTTTGCACATGAAATTCAATTGGATCTAGTTTGGCTTACAACAGAATCAAACAAAACTATTTTGAGGCAAATTCATTTTGCCAATTTGGAACCATTTCAATAAAATAAAAATACAATGAATGCGCCTTGTTTAGTTTGTTTTTACAGCATCTCCTGTTGAGAACATGTGCGTAAATCGACCACTGAAGCTTGAATAAAATGAAGCACTAAAACCTTTTATTATATATTAAATATACCCCATGTATTATAATTGTCTAGCTCCTTACCATTATTGTCCTATATAATATATACGAATATTTTAAAAATCAAAAATAACTATGGTAAAATGGTTATAAGAAACAACTAAGTACTTCGAATTCTCTTTGTAAAAATAAACAATTAAATTAAAAAAACGAAAACAAAAACAAAGCTAATTCAGAGTTCATGGTAATCAACAAATGGTATTTTAGAGAACCGAGACCGCCATCTAGAAACAAGTTTTGGATAAAAAAAAAGCAAAACTAATGCATGACTAGGGAGATAATTTATTATTTTAAATCCCAATCGGTAACAGTTTGTCTAATTCCCAGCATTATAAAACAGTTCTGAGAATAAGCTAATTTCAGCAAAAAAAAACTCTAAGAATATTTTTACTTATTAAAACATTTTTATATTGTAAAATACAAATTTCTGTCGATTAAAGTTCTTTCGCATGATAAAAAATAGTTTCTAAAATTGTAAATTTTTGTGTATAATACATGCTTATAGGCTTAAAATTTTCTCCTTGTTAAAATATATCTTTTCTTCTTTGAATGATATTTTTTAATTTTACATTACTGATTAGTGAAAAGCAAACGGGCCCAGCACTGCACTCTACAATTATCGCTTTCAGAGAGATAGAAAAATACATCTCAAATCGCTCTTATAGATTTTATCAACGGTTCACGAGCGGTGCTGAACTGAAGGCACGGTTGTATCTCTTATTTTACTTCTTTTAAGACCACTCCTCACACAGAAGTTGTATGTCTAAAAGGCAATAAAGGGAATATTTGCCCCCACCGGATGTAAAGTTCAAACCTCGTTATTCCCTAACATTAGCATTTAAAATTAACATGGTAATCTTACTCATCTTTTGAATTTTTTTTACAAATTGATAGAATATTTATACAAATATCTCGGGCTCTTGTTATACTTTTTACATTACATTGATTTTGAGGAGAAGATTACATTTGGCATACTCTTTTTTTTTATGGTGTAGGAATGCTGGAAAGGGAAACCGGAGAGGTCGAACTTTTAAATCGATTACCATTAACAAATATAAATATTTTTTAAGTCTTAAATACTAAGAAATATTTTAAATTTTACGTCCACTATGAAAACACCGGTTAAAGCCCATCTTAGTATTAAAAATTTCTTGACATCTCAATACATATTTAATACTGACAAGAAAACGGTTCTTTCTTCTCTCAGGGAATTATGAAATTTAAAACTTTTTTTAAAAACTACATTTTTTTTACATTTTCACTTTTTTTGTGTCAAATAATTCTTTTTAATTAACAAAATAACAATTACTTAAAACTATTAGCTAGAATAAAAGGGGAAACAATTGAAACTAATTTAAGAGTTAGTGTCTTTTGGCCAGCGGCAATGGTATCTGCCGCCAAATAAAACTGCCTGTTGGACCTAAATACCTTGTCAAGTACAAGTAAGCTCTGGTATATTAAATCACACATTGATACAAGACGTTGATTCTATACTTTACAGTACCTCCAAAGGCTAACAACGACTAACTGTACATCACAATTTACAAGAGTTTTAAAATTTTTCTTTTATACATTAACCAATCTGCCAGAAATGGAACACAAAATGTTAAGATCACCCAAAAGATGAACGAAAATGAGCTCGGCTGATTTGGAATTTTGGTAAGGAAGAAATTAAAAAGGCTTTGTTTTGTGTTGTCATTTTCAATTGTTTGGTGTATGATTGTGGCCGAGCCCAGTTTCCGTCCTGTGAAGTAGCAAATAACTGGTAACACATTAGAAGTTTTTATAGGTGTTTAACTGTCTTCAGTCTTTTGGTTCGACCCAGTCGACTCTTGCCCACTCTGGCAGCTCGGTCTGGTAACCCCATCCTGGTCCCTGGAAAAATTACATTTTAGATGTGTAATTAATAATTGTACATTAAAGAATAAGTTAAAAATATCAATGGAACGTATACATTTTTTAAAAGCTAAATCAAATATATGAAGGTAAAAGGGAAATATTACCTGATATTTCCAGGCATGAAGATACATGATGAGGTCTTTTGGCTTTGGATCCCTGTATCTGACTTTGCATTCGTAACAGTGTGCATCTGTGGTCATTTTATCGCTGTCAAAAGCCAGGTCTGGTGGCTCGTGGCCGGTTTGGGTGGCCACTGTCACTTTGCTGTTTTTCTGGTGGTTCCCGAGAGGGTTCGAAGGCGGCACTGGTATGACGGTCGTCGGGTTGCTGACATTTGTTGATTCACACGGCGATGCTTCCCGACTACCTACACCTGAAGAAGTTATTTCTGTTAGAAGAATAAATATCATTCATATCATGTAAAATGGAAGAACTAATGAACAATCGTCCGAACAGCGTGTAGTCAGTTTGTCTACAGAAATTAAAAATTAGAAAACATTACAACACAAAGATGCACGGGAGGGGAACCGAAGAATTTTCGCGAAAGTGCAGAGGGCCGGCAAAGCCCACTTGATGTTTGTCGGCCCATAAATAATACATACATACTTAGAAAACTTTAAATTCTATTCGAACCGAGAAAAAGCTACTAGCTAGCATTATAAATTAACTGATTATCCATTTGATCCGATATAAAAATAAAATGTGTGGTGTTTAGTGACCGTTAGTTAATGATTATTCGGAGATCGTGAGATGCGGTCTGGTCACCTACGTCACACCAGACCGCATCTCACGATCTCCAAATAATCAATAAAAAAAAATGTTCACAAGGTTTCTATCTAGAATGAATATAAGGAAATATCAATAACCTTTCTCTTCATCATCAATGTTAAGAAGTGGTTTGAACAGATCTGGGTCGCCATCGATACCCAACCAATTCTCAGCATTGTGAATGCTTATAAGATCTCTGATCAACTCCTCGTCGGTCTTGCCGATGTTGCCACCCCGGCCTCGCTCAGGGCCGAACACTACATGATTGTAGAGAGGGTCGTTAACGACTGGATAGCCTGTAAAAAAGGGTAAAAATGATTATACCAAAACGACTTTGTAAGTTGATAAAAAATTTACCCAAGTATTGCAAGTGGACTCTGATCTGGTGCATTCGGCCTGTGTGCGGTTTGCAAGCAACGACGCTTGTGTTCGTCTCGGCGTTGTAGCCCAATTTGTGAAAGATTGTCGTACACTCCTTGCCCTTGGGGCTCACTTTGCAAACGCCGATTTTGTAGCTGACCACTTCTATCGGCTCAGAACACTGCACAACTTCACTGCAATGTAAAGTGAAATAATTTAAATTTGCAAAGCATAAAACAATCTTGCATGAAGAGCATGAGGAATGAGAGTAGCTTTTCGTTTTTCGTCTTGTTGGATGATTTTACTCCACTAGGAATAAGGAAGTTCCACTTTCAAAAATGAAATGTTTCAAAACTGAAAATCTTAATTTCATCTAGTGATTTAAAAATACAACAAGACCACTGAAATCCAGCTCATGTTGGGAATGAAGTGTCAATTTATGATTGTGATATTGCCTCTGGACACAGAAAAGCTATTGAAGATGGCAAAATGCTGTAAAGTGTCTGACAGTCAAAACCTGTAAACAAATTGGTTTCATCTACAAATGTCAACAATTTTAAAAGTAATTAGAGAATGCAAGGCAGATTAATGGGAGTATGCCACATACTAAGTCATGGTCAGTCGGTGGCCTAATCCAATCATTAAAACTGTAATTGTTGACATTGATAATTGGATATTTAAATAAGTTCTTTTGCTAAATCAAAAATGGTAATTTGTCATTCCAACAGTGAAGAACAACAACTTGTCATGGCTTTTTAATATTTGAAACATTCAAAGCCATTTCCAACATTTCTTCTAAAATATTTGCATAAACCTATAGGCAAGGAGTATACGTTCAAAAATAGATTTCACATTGTAAATAAAACTCATGAAAAATGCTAAACAAATCGAGGAAAACAAAGAATTTTTCTTTTAATTTTAAGGTAAAGAACGGTAGATTGATCGACTAGTTATAAGTTTTAACCATGAAGTGGATCAGCGTGTAAAGTTGAGCCGAGATCTTTGGACTCACCTCGGGAAATTTCCATCGACTCTGCAGATGTATTCTTTGGAAACGAGCCTGTTTCTTATCTGGTGTTCCATCTGTCTAGCTTTCTTCGGGGTCCTTCCGAACAGTAGGAGGCCGCTGGTCAGCCTGTCCAATCTGTGGATGGTCCTCAAGTTTTTCAGCTGGTACTCCTTTGCCAGGATGAAGACGACCGTGTTGTGTCTGTATCTGCCGCACGGGTGAACCTGAGTCGGGAGAAAGAATTTGAAGTCAATCAACTCAACGCGGATCCGGGAGAGTAAAAAAAAAGGAAAAACATAAAAAAAATGCAAACTGATTTATAAATTTACGGTGTTCGTGAGAGAAAAACATTTATCTGTTAGTAAAAAGTTTGAAGCGCTCAGCTTGGAAGTAAGGATTGTAAAAGGTAAGCGTAAAGGCCATGCAAAGTACTCACAAATTCGTGTTTTAAATTTTGCCAGTCCCATTGTGGCGTCTTTTTTGTTTGTTTTAAATCGTACCAACATTTCAACAACGATTAAAATCCACAACGTCCAAATGTCAAATTGGAATTTCCCTGTCGGATCGGAGACAAAAACACACACGAGGATCAGCGAGTTTTAACTGACGTTCGACTCAGTTGGGAAAAGTTTGCGACTTCATTTTCATGGCACTGGGAATTTAAAATTTTTTTTTAAAATTTGTTATATCGTTAAATTTAAACACCCATCCGAACGGGAAAAAATTTCAACCATAAATTAATTATTGTTTACCGGTATAACAAATGTACTAATACAAAAAAAAAAAAAAATTAACCGGATTGCACACGAACAGTCAATAAAATATAATTGATAAAACGTACTGTAAGTCAAATACGAATTATAAGGAATTCACTCAATTTTAAATTGGAGATTAAATTTCGATTCCTAAGTTTGATGTATATATGATGCCCGTATTGCTATGTTCCAATGTTTGAATACATGTAGGTAATCGGCTATAGAGTCGGTATACAGAGTTGAGGCAAATAGGACTTGCAAACTTAGGCCTCTTTCAGACGAGGCGACTAGTTGAACGGATGGGTGTCAAGGAGTGTAACGTGGTAGCAAAATGTATGGGAATCGCCCCAACCCCTTCACAAGCAGTCAACTCGTCTGCCCAGGCGGGTGGCCAGCAGGCATATTATCATCCCCACTGGTAGACTCGATTCAAAAGAGTGATTATTAGGAGATCGTGAGGTGCTGTCTGGTGTGACGTAGGTTTTAGAAAAACATTTTCTTTATCATGCCAACGTTTCGATCTTTATTGAGATCATCTTCAGGGCTCAAAGTGTTTTTTTCCGTGTAGATGTGTCAATCTTGCCTTCTTCTCAACACGACTCACAAGAATGACACATGTGTACGGAAAATAAACACTTTGAGCCCTGAAGATGATCTCAATAAAGATCGAAACATTGGCATGATAAAGAAAATGTTTTTCTAAAACCTACGTCACACCAGACCGCACCTCACGATCTCCAAATAATCATTGGCTAACGGTCACTAAACACCACACATCAAAAGACAGTGCTTTTTGCTTATAATTTTAATTTTCAAAGGCAACGATTGAATTTGAACCTAAGACAAATAAGTTAAAAACTTGGCAAATTCTATTAGTGAATGGCCTTAAATCATTGATCTCGGTCACAACGATTCGTATATTGAAATGGTGATGCTCAGCCCCTCGGTAATAATTGTTGATAAAAAAGTTTCTTTTTAAATTGAAAAGCGCACTTATGAGATTTTCATATAAAGAACCGATTGTTCCTTGCGCCCAGGAAGTTTTTCCCTCGAATGTGCCCATGAATAGTGAAGAGTTCGCCTTTTTTATCTTTTCCAACGATCCGAGACGCCGTTTTCTATCCTGGAATGGGGTGGTTCTCTGTTCTCTAGACGGGGGAAAACGGGAATGGGTTACTCACCGGGATAGAGCAAGGTTTGTCCAGGACTACAATGTCATCATCGACATGGATGACACGCAGTGGCTTTGCTAGCACTGGAGTCTCGTGCCTGCAACCACACACGTCCACACTCTCACATCTATTAAAAAAACGGGTCTCCAACCGCACTGTCCACAAAATACTCGTGGCTGCGATTTGTAAGTATTCCATGAACAGTAACGATCGCCCAATAATACTTTTTTTAAGAAGAGAAAAAAAACCTATTATTTTATACTAAAATGGCACAGAAAGAAGCTTTTTCCTCTCTCTCTTTCACAAAGAAAGTTGTAAATCAGCGCCAAACTAATTCTTTGTTTAAAATATTATATTTTACGTTTTTATTTCTGCCGTCTTGCTTTTTGACGTTTATAAGCATAGGAGTTTGTTAGTACGGCTGTTCAAAAATTTTTTTCCCGTCTTCGGAAAATGATAACGTGTTTTTTATGAACATACTGTACATTAGTCTGTGGAAAGAGAATGTATGCATATCCACAACATATTAATTATGTTGCTAAGCTGGAAAACAATCGCAATTAAATCCGGCCTTATGTGAACCAGTACCATTTCGTTTCAGCCTTTTATTTTCACAGATGGGAACTGAATGTTCCATTATTTGTTACTACTAGAAAATGTTTTTATTTTTATTACTTTAAGTCTAAAGCAATATGAATTTGGTCGCTTGCTTTGTTTCCCACAGCATCTCTAAATCAAGTTAAAACATCAACAAAGTAAAAAAAATATAATTATATGATTATTATGTACAATACGGTTTCATAAATAACGTGTTACTCAGAGGTTTATAAATTTACTGCAATAAATAAAATATAATACGCATTTATATGAAAACTTGGAATTTGCAAATGGTTTAAATAATACAATTAAAAATATCGAAGTTTCGAAAAATTTTGAATTAAACAGCCTTTTGTAAACAAAACCATCATAGTTGAGTTTTCATGGTACCAAATATTCAGTGAACACTGAGTTTTTATACAATGATCTATTGGGTTTAAAATCAGAGACGGCTTTTCTTGATTCTACAGACAGTACAGTATAATTTCTATTGTAAAAAATACGTCCCTAGCCCTTAATTAAACATTGAAAATATTAGCGAGAGTAAAATGTAAGGAGGATTAATATAAAAAGAACGTTTTGTAAACTTATAATTTATATACATAATTGCATAATCTAGTGTTTATGTAGCGCTTTGATGAGGTCGGTGATAAAACCAGAAATGACCAAATGACCATCGTGGGGTCAAAACACGCAAAAAGCGCAATCAATTAACGCGCGAATTATCTACCAAGTCTAAACCGCAGAGTTGAACTTTTTGCACTAGTGTATCACTAACTGTAGAGATTTCTTCTTTGTGTTAATGATATCACTGTTTGAATTAATTCGAAATAATTTTTTTTTAACGAGGGTTCGCAACAGCAGAGGTCATATAAACCCTCAGGGTGCCGGTGTTTAAAAAAAAAAGCCCATTTGTAAGTATGTCGGGTTCGAATGCAGGGCCGCTGGATTCGAACCCGGGACGACCTTTGCCTTACAGTGATGAGCACAGTGTCAACGTCTTAACCCCCTCGAAATAAATTTAAAATATTTACAATATCTCGCCTACTGGCGAACGTCCAAGGGGCAGTAAAGTTTTGTCTGTAATGTTAAAATATTAATTTAAATTTCACTGAAACTCGTCCGAATTTCATATTATACGATTCCGAGGGTGCAATCACAGATGGGCTTGCTTATTTGTTTCATTTAAAAAAAAAATGATTTATTCTTTTTTTCTTTCCCAAATTCCAAATTTTCATGTTCAACTTAGGCTTAACATGGTAAATTTAAACAATTATAAATACTTTACCTTTTTGCAATCCTCAATAGTTTTGATACAATGTATATTTAAACGCTACTTTCAATATTCCGCAAAAATCAAAAGTAATCTAGCATATTTTAATTTAAAAAAAACATCAAATACCAATTTAAGGGTGAGTCTAATTGTTAGAAGAATCATGCAACATTCTGAAGAAGAAATATATAAAAAAAGCAACCACCCAATAGAAAGATTCATTTTTAAAACTGTTAAAACTAAACAAACAACGGCATGCAGTGTTTTAATAAAAATAAACGTTTAAAATGTTAAACGTAATAAGAACAAAAAAGTACTATTATGTAGAAAAATAATGGCGTCTCTCTGCCACTTACTGGGATGGATGCGGGTTTGTTAACGACCACAACGTCTTCGTCCATGTGGACGATGGTGATTGGCTCTGCAGTGACTGGCACCTCGTGCCTGCAACACAACACATGCTCTCCACTCGGTTTTCAAACCAAAGATAACAAATAAAAATGTGAAGAAGAGAAAAATTGTCTTATGAATGTTGTAAAAATTCGTTTCAGAAGGTGCAAAATTTCACTGCTTTTGGGCAGCTATGTACGATATTTTCTCAATATTTCAAACGTCCCATGTAACTCTGCACACCTTTAAATTATGACATTAAATACTAAATTGAAGCATTACGTAGCGCTACTACTGTATTTTATATATGTTTTCTTATGGTTTTATTGCAAAATCCTTCTACGTTTCTCACGTAGGTTAACGTACAGATATAAAAAAAAAGTTTTACATTTTAGTATTACAACTCTAAATATATTAATATTTGAAAAACCTACTTACTATCACTTGGAAATATTGTTTTCACTTTCAATATTGAGGAAATTGATGAGATATTAACGGTTTTTATACATTTTGACTAGACACACTCAAATTTTAGAGTCTGGCGTAGACTAAAGGATTGCGAATGTCACAAGAACATACCTGTGTACGACGTTGGCGAGTAGGTCGTTGTGCTTGAGGCGGTAGTCGATGTCCACCTTCTCGTAGTTGACAGTGAGCGAGCCGCTCTTGATGCATCTCTCCTGAAAAATAAATAAAAAGCCAGCCGGCCGATGCAGTTTTAAATCCTGGTGTGCTTCAAAAACATAGTGGGATGAATATTTCAAACTGCTGTTCACTTACGTATTCTTCCGCCGGATGGGCTCTGAATTCCCTCGCGAATACATCCAGGATCTTCTCGCCTACCCAGCGTCCTTTTGTGAACGTCGTGAATGTGAAGTAGTACGGGTAGACTTTGCGGAGACCTGGCGACAAAACAGTCAGCGTTTTAGTTTGAGCGTCACGTCTGCCATGCAGCCGTATCAGGAAAGCGCGATTCTTAAATTGTTTTTCATAGCTGAGAGGTTATATTTTTCACGGATAATCTGGAGAATCTTGATTGGTACGGTCTGGACGATAAACAAATTCCATTGTTATTGCCAAGTTTTCGACCTATTTTAAGGTCATCATCATCAGGCCAAAACAATCTTAAATATATATGTTTCTTAGTGACCTATTGTACATTAATTTGTTGAAGTCTGAGGAGCGGTCAAGAATGCGGTAGTAATTTTTGTGCTGACGTTTCGACCTTTATTCGGGTCATCTTCAGGGCCTGGGTAAATTACAAAACATATCTTGCTTAGAAAAAATACAATTTAAGATGTAAATATAAATTCTGAACTAAGTATTTCATATTTACATAAAGTGTGGTGCTTTTCTTGTGGTGCCATGTAAAGTGTTGTGAAACGTGATTTACCCCGGCCCTGAAGATGACTCGAATAAAGTTCGAAACGTCGGCAAAAATATGAAAAAGGTCTTCTTCTAAATTATCTCATTCTTGACCGCTCCTCAGAACTTCAACAAATCAAACTTAAATAAGTTGTGTTTTTTTTAAATTTCCAACTGTTTATTGGAGTCTGATGAGTTTTATTAAAATAATATCCTTGATAAACTTTGAGTGTTTAAAATTTTTATTCTTGGACCGGTTTCGGGCTCTTCAGTTCCCCTTGTCAACAAATTTATACAAACCTTCGGCCGAAGGTCGTGGGTTCGGATCCCGCTAGTGACATAGCTTTTTCATCTCAAGGCCTTAGTTAAAAGTTACAATTAATTTATACAAATTCTTCAAAAAAACTTTTTAAAACAATTGAAACAAAACATTTGTAAATGCGTACATATCGAAATGTATTGTTCAATTGTTTAAAAAAATATTTTTTTAAGGAGTCTGTATAAATTTGTTGAGAGGAGGCAAAAGAAGAGCCCGAAACCTCTCCAAGAATAAAATGTTAAACACCCAGAGTTCATTATACTTGTTACATATTTTAATAAACGTCAGACTACAATAAACGGCCGGAAAGCTAAAAAAATACACAACATAGATTGTTTTATGGGTAATTAAATTAATTAAAAAAACTATAAGCTTATTTAAAATTAAATGTCTACACATTGACATAATTATGTTTTTAATAGATGGTTTAAAATTTATTTCAAGACCGAATCAGTCCCAACTGTCTTCAAAGAAATTTGAAAAAACCTATTAAAAATTTAATTTTGTAAATTTGTAGAAAAATTTAAGATTGTTTTTTGATTTATTGAACCACAAGTTTATAGAAGAACATCTTCAAAATTCCAAAAGAACAAAGTTTTGACAATGTTGTCCGATAAATAAAATACGTTATGCAGGAATCTAACCCGAACTATTACTTTCGAACTAAAGTTAGGACTCTGCAATGTTTGATTTAAAACAAATCTCAAATGGAAACGTTCTGAATAGCTTCAGGCTTACAATTATAACCGAATCGGCAAAATTTTCCCAAACTGATGACTACTAGGGCCTGCGTTCCCTCGTAGTTCTAGCGGAATAAATTTCAGAGAATTTTTTTTGTCCTTTTGTCTGGGTTGTTGTACGTTTATTCGCTGTTTGATTATCCTGGTTCGCCTCCTCTCGTAAACGAATCAATGAGCGTACGAATAAATCTCGACGTAAATTGTTCGGAATCCCAACAAAAATGTAATACGGTAGAAAAGGACACGAAGAACAATGTTAGGGAGCTACATAACACGAATGTAACGATGAAGATGTGACGAATTTACTAATTGGCCTACCTCTGGTGGAAACGGGCAAAAAAATCCCCGATAAACGAAAATGTTTTTCCGGTTTTGTTTCACCGTGATGCGGCCCGGCCGTAGATTTTCCTTTAGTGAGACAGATCGCGTAAAGGTATTTCGGAGAGAGGTTTCCTGGGGGGAAAAGTCAGGAAGACCCTCAGTTGGATCCGCAGGGGATGAATATTTCATGGATCGGTCTAGCGCGGGTCAACTGAAAGCAAATAGATCGCCCCTCCTGCCGAGACCTCTCAGGATTCGAGTCGTCCTCGCCGGGTTCCTAAATGAATCAATTTATGTCTCGTGTGACCAATGTGCTTTCCCCCGTGGGAACGACAATAAACAATTTCAATCGAAATCCCTCGGTTTAATCCATAAACAAAAAAACTTTTTGGACGGTAGATCCAGAATTGTTCGCTAACAGATATGATACGCTGTTAAAACAAGTTACCTCGGGTTTTTGTTTCACCTGGCAGTTAAGCTGACAAATAATACGGCTTAGAAACAACTGTACAACCGACTTCCAGCAAAAATGTTAGGGCAGTCGATAAAAACAGCTTCCAAAAACTTTATTTAAGCATATAATCTCTCTCTCTCTCTCTCATTCACACGTTCGGTTACATCACACACACACACACACACACACACACACACACACACACACACACACACACACACACACACACACACACACTTTTTTTTTAATTGTTAGCACTTTCTTGCTTTTATATTGATTTGTGAAAATTAAACATTTACATGCCTATTTAAACAACACAGATAAAAAAAAGTGAGGAAAATGTTTGACTGGTTCATTAATTAAATATTTTATTATTTATTAAATTGTGTAAAAAATAATTAATGCCGTGAAAAAAGTATATTTTTATTAGTAAAGTTAAATTTTATTGCAGTATGTTATGATTTGGCTTCATAAAATTTAACATTTATCGTTCATAAATGTGTTCACGTGATATACGAACTATCAATTTTATTGATAAATAAGGGAACAAAAACAGTACTAAAGTCAAGAAGTGTAATTGAAAACGCTCTGAGACAAAACATTGACAAAACTGGATAAATACATAGAAAAAAACATGAACATCAAGAAAAGATACGAACTATGCAAATCACCCTGCACAGAAGAACCGCGAAGTCATAACAACATAAAATTAATCGACCTGAACAAACAACGAAAAACAGAAACTAAATCTATTAAAAACACCGACTGAACAAAGAGAAAACATACACACTACTTTCACGTACTTTTAAACGGAACTCCCCTAAAGAAAATTAAACCGACAAAATAAAGATGGAGAAAGTCGAAACGCGTTTGACATAAGCCACCAAGAATAACCTGAGGAAAATCTGAAACTTCCAAAATAGAAATCGTGAAAGAAGAAAGCCCCTTGTAAGTGTGTGGGGTTCGAATACTCGCCGTGGATTCGAACTCGGGACCTTTACATTGGTGAACCACCGGAATAATCTTTCAAGTTCAATTTAGTGGGAAGGAAATCATTTAAGGAGGTATCTCATACATTAGACATACTGAAGAAATAAAAATCGCCGTATCAAATTTGTGATAACCCATTAGAACGATATTGCAATCTTAATTTTCTTCCCTACCAGAAGCTGTAATAACGTGTAAGATGAAATTACATTTTCATTGCTTTTTGAAAATTAGGAGAGAATAAGGGCAAAGTGGATTGCAATCGGCCGGGCATGACAATAACCACTTATTTCTAATAATAAGTCCCAGGGTGTGGGGCTATCGTAAATTTCTACACGCCTTCCAATCGTACTGGACCTTTTATGAAATCGTGCCCGGTTCCGGATATAAACCGTCATTCCAGCGGACCCATCTTTACCGGTCCTTCATAAAAGCAATTATTTAAGTGATATTCAAACATTATCGCCTTTGTATTGGATTTTTATTTGTACAGAATAATTGATTTTTTTTTTTAGTTCGAGTGTCTGAAAAAACTCAACCGATAGTAAAATAGGTGATTTTTGCCTTTTTCAAACGAAAAATTAATCACAACATACTCATTTTCATTTAAAAAAAATTAACCCATTGATCCTCATATTAACAAATTATTATGAACAAATTTAAACGAAATGCCTACTTCTCCCCATATAACATTAATATTGTGTTTCAATTGAAAACAAACACATTGTTTTTCATTGTGCTCATTACATAACTGACGATTACCTCCCTCCCTTGTCTTTCAAGGAATAATTGAACCGCGTTCGAAAAGCTGAATTGATTTTTCAAACCAAACTCTATGAACGACTGACAATAATTTCTGATTAATGAATCGTTCATTCGGCACCGTTGTTCACTGTGTTGATGGCTTTTACCAGCGTATGGATTTTTACATATCTGCTGTATGTCGGGTGTATGTGCCGAGGTACCATCTGCCAATGTTCTCTAACTGTCATCGGCCCCAAACGGAAAACTGCCGATATTGAACACGACTTGTTTTACCCGATTTCTACATAGGTGGTTTTCGACTAAGGAAAAATTATAAGACAGTTTATACAACTTTACAGGCGCATATACAACATTGAATTGTTACAATTAATAGTAAATAATGTTCGAATTAAATCAAAATAATCAACAGCAATCATCATTATTTATTATGGCTATTGTTATAATGGCTATCATAATTAATATTATATGAATTATGATATCATAATTACATAATGGTGCTCCTTTTCCTCTACGTCTATTGTTCCTGACCTTTTATGGAATACATTAAACGACGACTACCATAGCCAATTATTATTGAAAGTTCCATTCGTGATAGGCGTTATACACTGCTATTAGGTATAACGTAAAGAAAACCGACTGAAGAAATTTTGAGAATGCCTTGAACCTCCAAAAGATGTGGAGCGCGATGTGCGCATCCTCATTATAATAAAATGATATTAAAATTATTATTATATGATATTAAAAAAGCCGCTCAGTCCCGAAAACTGGTGGCCACCCCGTGAGAACTGGCGCGTTCAGACAAGCCCGCACCAAAGAAATACTTGAGGACAAGGGGAGTAACCCTTCCCCTTAATACTCGTCCGATGGGATATGGCAAAATGGAAAAGGCAGATACACCCCCACCAATATACGAGAATAAACTAAAGAAATTTAATGGAGGCTAAAGATCTA